ACACACACACACACACACACACACACACACACACACACACACACACAGAGTGCCTAAGATCAGTAAGACCAGTACGAATCCTGTCCAGGTGACCCAGGTCAAGTCACCTTAATGTCTCTGAGCCTCAGTTTCTTCATAAAATGGGGCTAATGGCACCTAGTTCCCAGGACTATTGTGAGAATAAGAGATGTTATCTGTAAAATGCTTAGAGAACCAACTTTAAAAAGATGGGTAGAGAGACGAGGCACTGATTAAATGCAATTCTTCATTAGCATTCTATCCAAACAGCATCTGGTTTTCCAATTGTCATTGGTGACAACACCAGGGACAGAGCGCTGCCTGCAACATACCTGGCGTGCTCCTCCGGAAGCTTTCTTTGCCTTTGCATATGAAACATGAGATCCCCTCCATTCACATACTCGATGACAAGGAATAATCTGGAAGAGAGAAGATCTCATCAGCAGCAGGCAGCTAGCTCCCCCGGGGAAGAAGGAACTCTGATGTTTCCGGCACAATTCAATCTGTAGCAGCTTAGATTTGATGGGGAAACCATATTGCAGGGGAGGAAAAGAACCCACCAAGAAAAATACTTCAGCAGAAGTTTCATAAGCCACCCTCTACAGACAACTGGAAATGAACCTTAAAGGAACGAGACTTTTTAAAAATCTTAAACCAAACCAAAACATATATTGGAATGAGCACCATTTTGTTTGAAGCAGTCACCTGGATGACGCCCTGTTTATCCTCTCAAGGGGACTATTTGCTCCAACTATTTTGTAAATATGTTTGTTTTTAAAGGATCTGCACATTCTTTAGATTTACTTGCAATTTCCAGACCCAGCACTCCATTACCCATTTCTTTGCACAAACTACCACCCATGTCTAAAATGCCTTCCCTCGTCACATCCGTCTCTCTGAATCGTAAGCGGCCTTCGAGGCCCATATGGGATACCTTCCAGGGAAGGGGAAGCCTTCCAGATCCCCTAGAGTGTTGGTGGCTTCGCCCTCTTCAAAGCAGCTTGTATTTGTTTCTCTTTGTACATGTTGCTTGCCCTTGATAGAATATAAGCTCCCTGAGGGCAGGAGCCATTTTCTGTTTTGTTTTTGAGCCTTGGCATGAAGGTACGTGTTAAATAAATCCTTGCTGGGTTGAATGAAATAGAATGATCCCATTCCAAAGAAGGCTGTGATTGGAGCCCATAATCTTGGGGATCTTGTGATTGGCCGAAGTTCATTCACCACGTGTATTTTGCAGGAAGGGGGAGAAGCGGCACACGCAACCATTCCTCCCAGGCACCAAGGGTCAAGTGATGAAGAAGCCCAGATACCAAGAGCATGAGCCTTTTGGATTTCCGTGGGCCTATCAAGCTAGGTTTTCACTCAAATATTGTCAATGGAGAAACTGGGGATGCTAAATGGGGTCATTCTAGAAATCAGAAGACAGAAATCTCTGTCCCTTGCACGTGCATGCAATTTGCTGAAAGAGTTCCAAGTCATTCGGCATTGGGACTGGTAAACAAAGCTGGTCGCCTAGGCTTCCGGATGAACAACAAGGTCCGACGGGAGCTCGCCCACTCACTCTGAAGGAGATTCCTGATGTCGAGGCCCCAGGGGACTTTGAGCCCCACCAGCATCCCAGGACTGTGATGCTCATCTCCAGCCTCCAGGCCTTTGCATCGATTCCACACCCGGAATGTCCTCCCTCCTCTACCTCGGTCTCTCGGAGCTCCCAGCTCCCATCCAGGCTCAGCTCCAGTGTCTACAAATGGCCTCCCCTGATTCCCCCCCAACCCACACCCCTAGTTATTAACGCTCACTGCCTCCAAATCCCTAGGATTTATTTGTTCTATTTCCTGTCTTTACTCATTGGTGGGGTGGGCAGGTTGTATCTAGTCTAAGACATAAGCTGCGGGCTGGCGGAGGCTGCCTTTCTTTTAATAGGCACTCAATTAATGCTGATGGATTGACCAATTGTGTCCCTAGAACCTAACATGGTGCTTGGCACATAGTAGGTGCTTATATAAATGTCAGCAAGGCTTCCTGTTATTAATGAGATCAGAGATGTATTGGGGAACATGGAAGACACATCGCATTTTTTGGGCATGCCTGGACTTGATTTGATCACATTTGGAGAACTCAGAAACAGACACACATGGAAAAGGCAGCATCTGAGCCTTTCAGAAATGCTGTCTCTTGTCTCATGACAGGGTCCTTCTGATCTCCCCTCTCTCTCACCCAAGCAAAGTCGGCATCCACTCACTGGAAAACACAGACCAGCCATAGCCAGCATATTTATATGAAAAGTGCATGGGACAAGAGAGATGATTTAGAGAAGGGAAGGAGGAAAAGCAGAAAGAGACAAGAGAGTCAACAAGAGAGGCCACTGTGGGGAGGGGATGAGCTATTCATGAAAAACATTCATTCATTCATTCATTCATTTGCTTGGTACCTAATGATTAAGTGTAGAGCACTGTGCTAGGATCAGGAGGGCAGGCACAGGTGAAATAACTTCCCTAGGGTGGCCCAGAGTGTCTGAGGCAGGTCTCCCTAACTCCAGGCCCAGCACGTTACCCACCATTCCCCTTAGCTGCCTCTAGTTTAAAGAGAGTGTGGCCTCCAACCTCATGGAGCTGCTTCCAGAGAGTTTCCATTCTAGCAGAGGAATACAATCTGCTCACAGATAATAATAGCTAACGTTTATATAGACCCTACTATGTGCCGGTCACTGTGCTAGGTGCTTTACAAATATTATCTCATTCGGGTCTCACCACAACCCTGGGAGGGAAGTGCTATTATTATTCCCTTTTACAGATAAGGAAACTGAGGCAAACAGTGGTGAAGTGACTTGCCCAGGGTCACAAAGCTAGGAAGTATCTGAGGCTGGATTTGAACTCTGACACCCAGCCGTCCCTAATACAACAACATAAATGCATACAGCTCAGCAGCCTGGAAGGGCACAGACCCTTGGCGCAATACCACTTAAAAGGATTAGTAAAAGAAGGAGCAGAGTCATTCTACAAGACACTTAGACTGTTAGCTTCTTGAGAGCAGGGACCGTCTTTTGCCCTTCTTCGTATTGCTTTGCACTTAGCACAGTGCCTGGCATACAGAAGGTGCCTACTGAATGCTTATTGACTAAGGAGCAATGGCAGGGAGTCCTCCCAGCTCTCCCTGATACTCTAGGATTAGGGTGAGGTTCTTCTCCCAAGGCAAAGGCAGTTGAGAGCTATAAAGAGTCTCACGTCACCCAGGGACACATTAACTTGACATCTGCCTAAGACCAGCTACCAGTCGGATTCGAGACAAGTATTAATTAGGTGCCTACTGTGTGCACAGTGCCGGATGCCGAGTGGGAGGTACCAGACAAACAAAAGCAGTCCCTCCTCCCAAGGAGTCTACATTCTATTGGAGAATACACAGATAGATAAAAACAAGACAATCTGAGCAAGGAGATGCACCTGGCAGGCCGCTAAATTCCCAAGTGCTTTCTGAATCAGAGAACGGCCATCCCCGTGGGAAAGGGGATTCAGAGGGTGGTCGAGGAAGACGCTCTAAAAAAATCTGAGAAATACCTCGATCTGAGAGCCCTCTGCTGACAGTTATCAAGATCAGAAACAATATGCCTGAGAATAGGAAATGAAACACGACCCAGCCAAAGAGAACCATCAGGTTACTGACAAGGCTAATTCAGCCTCAACAAGGTCAGGAGGGAAAGGAGGGGGAAAAACAAGCCTGATGGATCAGTCTCCCTGCCCCCCTCCTCATCATAAAGGAGGGTGACCTGCTTCCAACAGGCAGGAAACTGGGCCGATTCCCATGCCAGGGAAAGGAAGCTTAATCCATCATCAATGGATTCTCAGCTGGAAGAACGTGAGCTCTTCCTTCAGCAGTAAAAAGTGAGGTGAGATCAGGGACTGTCTTTTGCCCTTCTATGTAAGACAGGTGGCCAAAGCCTTTCCCACTTGTTCAGTCCTCCAAGAGCTCTCTATCCACGGGCACGGACTTTGAGACCCCATGATCAGACTGGCACGACAAACAGAAGAATACATAAGAATAAGACAGGAATGGAAGAGTTTGGGTTTTTTAGTCCACACCTGTGATCTCACCAGTGTAAGGACTTCCCAGGGAGGGACTTCCTTCTATCAATGCCGATGAGCACCTGTCCTGAAACTCACAGCCTTGGAGAGCTGCCACTGGGAAGTTATTCGGTCCGCATAGATAGTGAGTGTCTGAAGCCAGATGTGAACTCAGGTCTTCTTGACTCCAGACCTGGGACGCTATTCACTGTGCCACCTGGGGGCCCCTAGCTCATTAGAGCTGGTCTGACTAACCGTCTTCTCCCTGTGCTTTTGAACTGAGTTTTCAGCATTTTAGGCAATGTAGATGCAAAGTGCGGGAGAACAGGCCGTTTGGTCTGTCACCATCTGGCAGGTGAGCCATTCCAAACCCTTCCTCCTAAGCTGGAGTTTTAAATTCTGACAATGACAAACCGACTTATACATTTAAAACGGAAATGTGCCCTTTTAATCTTCTTTTTCTTAAAGTTTTATTAATGCTTTTTGCTCCTTGCACTAGAGATTCCCAAAGACTCCCTTCTTTGTAGACCCCTCCCTTGTAACCAAGAAGCACAGTCACATATGCACCATTCCACACCCACAGCCCACCACCTCTCTCCTGAGATTATAGGATTCTGGACCTGCTCTTCCCTGGATCCCATATTCAGCCAGCCAGCCAGCCATTTTTCCAGTAGAATGTAACCTTCCTAAGGGTAAAAACTGTTTGTCATCTTGACATCCATCTTGCCCTCCCCGAAGCATCAGCACACTTGACCAGCCACTTGTGCTGGACACTCTCTGGGTTTCTGGAACATGGCTCTCTTTCTGTTTCCCCTCCCCCTTCTCTGACCACTCTGTCTCAGTCTCCTCTGGGATCATCACTTATGCCCTGATCCATAACTATGGATGGCTCTGTCCTGGGCCCTTTGCACTTTCTCCCAACACCAGTGCTTAACACAGTGAGGTCTGCACACAGTAGGTGCTCAATAAATGTTTATTGATTGATTGGTTGATCTCAGTGCTCACATCCCTTCCCATGTTTGTAGATGACCTCCAGATTCATGTCTAGCCCTGGTCTTTCTCCTGATGTCCAAGGCCTGTTGATCATCTGTACCCGGATATCCTGCAGGCACCTCAAATTCAACACGGCCAAAACAAAACTTAATGATCTTCCTTCTCAAAACTTTCTCCTCATCTGAGCTTCCCAATTCCCCGTGAAGGGCACCACTATTCTATATTTAAACCTCAGTTAGCGTCAACATCTCACTCTCGTCCATCCCACATATCTAATAGATCACCACCTTCTCAATTCAACCTCCACAACATCTTACACTGGCCTGTTCCCTTCATTGACAAGGCTAAGGACTAGTATGGTGGCTTCT